CATATGACCTTCTGCAATTTTCAAAGAACTGCTGTGAGAAAGATGAGCTTCAATGACTGGCTTTTACTAGAATGATTGACAATTAGGAGGACCATTTATTTTGATCATCCACCTGGAAAAAGAGCATCCACCCCTATAGCTTTAAATTTAAATAAATTCATTAGTTGGCTATAAATAATTGTAAAACATGACAGCAGTAGGACTGGTACCAGGTTTTTAAGAACTGGGTTGATCGGCCATGATGATCTGGGAAGTTGGTGAAGTTTTTAAAAAGTCTGGACAGCTTTTGATTTTCTTGGCTCCCGGTCCTCTTTCTGGACTCACCTACTACCCAACCAGGAGAAGAGGCGCACAGAGAGGAGGTTCTCTCCATCTTGGAAGATAAAGACAAGTCTTAATGTCTCCACCTTCCTCCTCCTCTCCGTCGTTTCTCCAGATTTCTCCTCTTCCTGTGTCGCTTAATCTGAGTTGGATGCTAATCTACCTACTGCTGTGGTTCTGATCCGTGTTAAACAATGTTGGAAGGGCAAAAAAAATAAAAAATGGAGCTTTGTAATCATACCTTCTTCATGCCGATCCAGTCTGGGTTTGGCTCTCTTTGCGCTGGCAGATCTTCAGTTTTCAGAGGAGATGCAGCATCTTGGTGACAGTTTGGATAGAGGTGCAGTCTTGTGTCTGTGTAAATGAGTTGGACAGCCAGGAGGATGCTGGCAGTTTTTAGAAAAAAAAAAAAAAAACCCAGGCAAGGTGTGAAGAACCAGAGATGGATAGCAGAGGAAGGAGGCTGAGGATGGATGAAGGAGCAGATAGAAAACCGGACATTCTGCAGGTAACTGAACAGAATCAACAGGATTAAGGAGATGGGTCTATTTTGTTCAGGGACAGTCGTCTTCAACAGCTCCTGTAATGAGGTCTGGTGACTGTTAATATGGTTGAACTGGTCCAAAGTGTGGTGAGAGTGGACTGTTGTCATGTTCTTCTCATTAATCTCTTTGATTAAACACCATCTGCCCAAAGCAGGGGGACAGAGTGCTGGGGGACCCTCGTTAGGGACCTCGTTAGAAAGCTCGTTAGGGATCGGGACCAATCTATCTCTGATGCTCAGTCGTGCACACAGACGCTCTTAGATTCTGTGCAGATGACCTGAAACATGTTAAGACTGAGAAGAATAAACCTTTCCTTTATTACTTGCTCAGAAATGTTAATTTTTTCCCAGTTTATTCTTGTAAATCTTTAGGATTTTATCCTTAGTCTAGCTACAAAGTTGAATCTAACTTGCAAAAATATTTGTGGATGGATGGATGTCAATGGATGGATGGATGGATGGATGGATGGATGAATGAATGGAAATGTGAAGTTAGTCAGAGAGTCGCCAAGCTCCACCAGAAGACGACTGACGTCACCTTATTGATTATTTATCCATCAGAGAAGAAGAGTCCATCTTATTTACACACCAAGACCTTCTCTGGGTAACAGGAAAGCCACAGGACCATTAACTGTGAGTCATCCAATCGTATTAGAGATTGTGTGTGTGTGAGGGGTAATCTCATTACTGCGATGGCTGCTTTCACATTATTATATACACCGCGTTTACTACAGTATGACTCAACCTGTCTGCCCTTTCAGCTCTGCTTCATGTCATAACCACAGTGTGTGCGTGAGTGAGGCTGTGTTCTAGTATTACAGCACAGGGTTACAGAGTATTAGTGTTTGTCTACATTTATTGATCAGAGCTTCTTCTTGCATGTTTGGGAGGCCTTAGATCAGTGCTGATGGCTCCATTGTGTCCTTATAACTCAGGACATTTCATTTATGATGCAGACATAATTTCCCTGTTTAGATGATTTGATTACTGGACAAGCTTGTGTTAGTTTTTCAGCTTTGGTTTCATTCTGAACAAAAGTTAAATGATGGGTGAGGAGAGAAGAAAATCAATCCTGACCAATCCTAAACCCAGTCCAAAGAAAAATGGGTTCTCTGATGCTTATTTTCTGCAGGGTTGAACCAACTAGTTTAGCTGGTTTAGAATTAAGCAGACCTAGAGATCTGCAGCTGAGCTCCGGGACAGATGTCTGTCAGAGAAATGCTTGATAAACATCAAGCCAAGTCACATAAGTTAGGAGAAGTTGAGGCTTTCAGACCTGATATCACTTAAGCAGCTGTCAAGCACAAAGGTGGCAGCATCATGGTGAGAGTCTCTTTGTGCACAAAAGCGATGGAGTACAGAAGAAGAACCAACTCAACTTTTAACTTCACCTTAACGAACTGTAAGGGCCCCAAACATGGATCCAAACTGGTTCTGGAATGGATGACCTGAAGTATCAAAGGTTGTCTCTATGCCAGAAACAGACTCATTTTCTTTAGCTAAGCAGCCACATATTACAGGGGAATAAGAAAGAAGCTAAACAATAAGGAAATTTAATAATATGACATCCGTCCATCCATTTTCCATCACGCTTATCCCAGGCGGGGTTGCGAGGGGTGCTGGTGCCTATCTACAGCTGTCTACGGGGGAGAGGCAGGGTACACCCTGGACAGGTTGCCAGTCTATCGCAGGGCAACACAGAGACAAACAGGACAAACAACCACTCATACAGACACTCACACCTAAGGAGAATTTAGAGAAGCCAATTAACCTAACAGTTATGTTTTTGGACTTGTTCAGAAAGCCATGCTCAGGGAGAACATGCAAACTCCATGCAAAAAGACCCCGGGCCAGGAATTGGTAAAAGTCCTCTGGTCTCCTTTTGTAAAGCCTCAATACTCATGAATGTATTCCATCTCTTGTTTTGGGTGCTAAGTTAGTACTGTGGTCCCATCATGTCAACATTTCAGAGGAGTCCTCTTGTTTCCAGTTCATTAAACTAGCAGGTGATCCTCTCTGACCAACAGCTCTTCCTGAGGAAGGCCAGAAACAGGATTACCTCATGATCCACTGCTGGTGGTGCATTGGTTTAACCAGAAAATGCTGAGGACCACAGAACTTGGACTGGTCTATCCACTCCTTGGTTCTGTGAGAATATACTTCTATTAATGTTGAGGCACCTCCTGAAGTTGCTGATTCAAAACCACTATGTTGCAAGTTTCTTGGCAGAAGAAGATACCAGAGTGGAGCTGTGTGTGTTGATCGGAGTGACGGCTGGAGGAAGCAGATTATTTCATCGGAGCTGATAAATAAGTGGGCCGCAGCATCATTAAAAACTCATCAGCGATGAGTCCGTGCACGCTCATAAATTCACTTCGCTTATCAGCCAAACAGATGTGGCTATTGTGCTCCGTTAATGAGGCTTTGGAGAGATAATTACAGCTAAGTGGGAGTGTTTCTGGGTGTTGGTAAAGTTCAGCTGGAGGATAAAGTGCAGTGCTGGTTCTGGGCCTGCCCGCGTGGTGAAAGATTTCCTTCTCCAGGAATAGGAGGCAAGGTTTCAATTATCTTGAACTCTGAATGCAAACAAAGCGCCTCATTGGCTTCAGGGACGAACCTTCACCTCTGCCCTCTAGAGGTCAATTGGCCTTATTTACTTCAAGAGAATGTCAAGGGTCTGGCATTGATCAAAGTCCTCCAATGAATAGTTCCTTGTTTAGTTTTAGAAGAAGCAGCAGGTGATCCAATAAGAAGCAGCCTCTTTGTTGGTCAGACAGCACTCCTGTTTCCCAACGAAGGGATCAATTACACTGATTGTTGTCACTTTAGTCAGTAGTTTATGCTGGCTGTGAAGCAAGGAAAGGGAAATCAGTCTGATATTATAGAGAGCATCCTCTTTGGACAGTGTCTAGTGTCAAAACCAAACCACTGTAATTTACCAGCCCATCCAGAGCCAAAAAGGATACATCATGTCATGAAATAAAGGCTTATGGTCATTTAAAATGTAGAAAGTGGCTAAAACTGCTTGTTAAATTGTAGTGACGTCATAATAACAAAGTAGTTTGATCTTTGTTAAGTAAGTTATGAGATTAAATATTCTTTTATACAGCTATATGGCCCTTTTGAAGAAAATAATGCAACAGTTTTTGCATCCAATTAATTATATTTAGTTGCTTTAACATAATTTTTTCATGTCCTACCCTGCTAACATGAACACTGTCCTACATGGGTCCCAGATGTGGGAGAGTATCAGGCCACATCAGACAAAGAAACTAAGCAAGAAATGATCAAACCATCCAAAAACTAAAGATTTTTAGATAATTGACATCTGATTTGTCAAATTAAATGGTGCTTTAAGGATTACGTCAAGTAGCAGGTTAAAGGTTCAAGTGTGGCTTGATTACATTTTCCAAAATCTTGAAAGTTTGAAAAGAAGGGAGTCAAATTCTAAGAAACCTTAGATTAAAGGAGACTGCCTTCAGCTGCAGCCGGTGTTTAAAACCTGAATAAAGGAACTGATTCAGGAAGTAAATGGAAAACTATAAAAATAAAAGGGGTACAAATCGATTCTCAACCAATAAATCTGATTACCAGGAAAAAAAAAAAAAAAAAAACACTGATAGAACCATCTTTAGCTGGCTGGGCTCAGAGGAACCAGGTTAGAACATGAGTTGCACCAACATGCTGCTCTGTGAGGAGCCTGGATCCTTTTTTTCTTCCATCGGGGTTATTGATGATTAGCTGATTTAAACGTGATGAAGTTTAGCTGAATCTTGTTTCAGTGTGTGTGAACAAAATGAACGAAGAGGTGTTCGTGAGAGACCAGCAGGGATTATTGGAGATTAAGCTTCACAGGGTGTTAAGTGGCTAAGCGGAACCACTGGAGGGTTTAGCTTCTTATCTCCATGTTTCTTCTCAGATTATGTCCTTTATCCTCTACCTGTTGATGAGGATGATGGTGGCGATGAACTCTCTCCGCTCCTACGATAATCCTGTGAAGCAGATTTAATACCGTTGATCAAACCTGCAGAAATATTGAAGAAAAATATTATTTTTGTCTTTCATAGAACTTGAACCCATCAAGAGGAAATTCTGATTGAAACCCTTTAACAGCCACTGTCTGTTTCCTTTGCAGGAGATGTGGTGGACATCTACCAGAGGGAGTTCCTGGCTCTGAGGGAGCGCCTCCACTCAGCAGAGCAGGAGAACCTGAGGCGCTCCAAAGAACTTAACCTGGTCCTGGAGGAGATTAAGAGGGCCATCGCAGAGAAGCAGGCTCTCAGAGACATCAACCGCACCTGGAGCAGCCTCTCTGGTCAGTACGAAGATGAACATTTAAGACAACATAAGGGCTACGTTCACACTGCAGCCTGAAGTGACCCAAATCCGATTTTTTTGCCGATATCCGACCTGGATCTGATCTTTTCATGGCTGTCTGAACAACACAGATCCGATTTTTTTCCAATCCGACCCAGGCCACTTGGCAATGTGGTCCTGAATCCGATACGAATCTGATCTTTTCAAATGTGACCTGTGTCTGAATGGCCAGGTCGCATTCATCCGACCTGAACGCCATTAATACCTGACATAGGTCACTATTATACGTCTTGCTGTGAAGAAACGGCAAGAAAAACAACAACCATGGCAGATGATGATGCGGAGAGCATTATTTATGTTTAACCATATTGAAAAGATTGTGCACCATGGGATCACATACAAGTCGCATATATTTGGAAATATGAACGGCAACGTAAAAAAATCGGATTTTCCAAAAAAATCGGAATTGAGCATCAAGGCCTGAAGTGTGAACGTAGCCGATAATGGTGAGATTTGCAGGATTAGAATCAGATTGTTTAAGGATGGAAATGTTAGAAATTGGGAAATAAAAATGAATTAAGTATTTGGTGGCTGGCTTTAAAATAGTTTGATTCTGAATCAGCTGGTCTGACTGACTCTCCTTCTGGTTCCTCAGAGGAAACAAGGCTGAAGCTGTGGAACGTGAGCAGCAGTAAGAACGTGCTGCAGCTTCCCTCCATCTTCCACCATCTTCCTCACCTGCTTAACCGAGAGGACAGCCTGCAGCCCGCCATCCACCTGGGACAGGGACGAACCGGAGGTAAGCTCCATCCATTACCTTCTAAAGGTTTTTAACTCCAAATACCAGTCTCTTTCTGCTGGAGCTGTTTGGGTCTCCATCCATCTTTATACAACTAGGTGCCGAATCTGATGCAAACAAGAACAGAGAAAATAGGATGGAACTATAGAACCTAGTAGCCTATTGAACTTCCAGATGATTGAGGTCTGGACTTTTCCACCACCTTGATTCTGTTCTTTTTTTTTTATCATTTCTGCTTTAGATATCATATCCTCTAAAAGTACCTCAAAGCCCACATCCTCAGCCTTGCAATACTGTGGTTAAGAGTTGTTTGTTCTCATCTCTGGTGTCGTGGTTTCTCCAAAAATTGTGTTGAACTATAAAAATTGGTCCAGACATTTAATAAAATGTCTATAAATAAGTGTATTTTACCTTAGTTTAAATAGATAAAGGAGATATTCTGGCATTAGAATAAGTCTTTTACCATTAATATTAGATAGTGAGATATGATGCACTTTAAATAAATTGTTGGAGATGTTTTTTTTCTTCTGTTAAACATAAATCATCTTATTCCAATAGCAAATCATCTTACTTACCTGCTATATATATATATATATATATATATATATATATATATATATATATATATATATATATATATATATATATATATATATATAGTTACTTCAAGAAAAAATTACTTAGATTGCAATTTTTGCATTGAGTGCGTTGGGATTCAATACTTTCAAAAATAGAATAAAGTGAGGAAAATAATCTAGAATAAGACCAAAACTAACAGAAAATTCAGGTACTGTCTGGGTGAGAAATAGGCAAAACTGCAATATAAAATCAGAAAAATACCAGGTTAAACAAAGGCTAGAATTTGAGTTTAATTACAGTGAAATAATAGTAATGCAGTAAACGTTGACTGTATTACAAACTAAATAAAATCAAAATAATGGAGGTCGGATAAAAAGCAGAATGACAAGTTTTTCCTTTTGGCTTTGCTCCAGAGCAGCACACTGCCTAAAGCCCTGTTTTATAGAGGTGCTCAGTCTGGAGTTGATCAGATAATCAATGCTGTAGATCAGCAGTACCCGGCTGCTGCTTTACCTTTTGGCTGTAAAAAAAACGCTTCTGTTTCTTTGCCTGCAGCAGATCCCATGTGTTTTGTTTGATTTGGGTCAGGATCAGCCAGGAAAATAAGGAATATTGTGCTGGAAAGAGAAGCATTACGAGAGACACATGATTGTTTCCGACAGAAGTCTCCGATGACGTCAGCTGTTAAAAACAGGTCTGGTTCACAGCTAGCCTCAGGGTATCCAGCTAACAGTTTAGCCCTTATTTTTGTGATGCTGCCTCATGCATTAAACTCATCCAAGAGAAAACGTTCTACCGGTGCAAACCAAAAGGCCAGGGTGAAATGATTTAATGGAACTGGCTCCAGGGCGATCCTGCAGTAGGAGGTTTAAATGCAGGAGGAAAAAAGCCAAAACGCCATTAATCACACCTGCATAATGCTCATACAAAGACTTGGCTCCTGCCTGAACCAGCAGCCTTGGGACAGACTGTTTATGTTTATTTTGGATCCCCATTAGCCATGGAAGAGCTCTGCTACTCTTCATGGATGGATGGATCGATGGATGGGATCGATATTTTAAAACATTAGAAATCTAAATAAGTTCCTCTTATCTTTTTTTTTTTTTTTTACACAAACATCTAATTATAGAACATCTGGAGCAAGGTTCCTTAGTCTCAGTCCCTGAGGCCCAGTCTCCTGCACCTTTTAGATGTGTCTCTATTTCAAACCCCAACCAAATGGAGTACCTTCTCCAAATGGAGTGACCTGATTATCTGACTCAGGCATGTTGAATCAGAGAAGCATTTAGAAGGTACAGGAAACCGGACCTTGAGAACCGGATTAGAGGAACCCTGATCTAGAGCATCTAGAATCTGATCAGAGAGGATGAGAAAAGGAGCCATGTTTTTTAATGTTTGTTTATGTAGCCGTCCTTTTATCTTTTTTCTGACCCGTGTAAGTGGCCACGTTAATAAGGGAGGTGTGGAATGTGAGAACCTTTTGCTCAACCTCCATCTTCTCAGAGTTCTTTTACGGAACTGATATCCTCTTTCCCTCATCTGTAGCCGTTTGGTCCTTAACATTAGCTTTACCCCTCATACCAGTAGCCAGGTGTGGTAATAGGAGGCTGACAAGGTGGGCTGGGTTTGTACCTTCAACCAGTGGACCACTAACTCCTCTTTGCCAAAGTTTTTTTCTGATTTGTCTGTCCATCCTCTGAAGGCTGGTCATCAACAGAGATTTTAAACACATTCTGCTTTTCAAAAATATTGCAAACAGATTAAGAAACATCACTACTCACCTTCTGACTGCACGCTCTAAAACAACCACACATACGGTGGCGGTGTACATGTCAGATTTAGCGTATTGGTTGCTCTCTGTTGCTCTCATAGATCGTGGCATCACCTGACTGCATGAATATTTAAAAACAGAAACCAGAATCATCATTTTTACACCAGAGCCAAGCATCAAACCCTCTACTTAAACTATCTTCTAGTGTTTTTTACAGGAGCATTTTAATGCTGTAAAGCTTGATTTCTCTTAATTCTAAGATATTAATTTTCTTAACCATGGCACCATAAACATCACCGTCCTATATGCTTCCAGGCCACCGTACACTGAGTGAGTAATTCATGTTGTACTGGATTGTCCTGTTGCTTTCTGTGTGTGCAGTCTCCATCGTCATGGGAGTTCCCAGCGTGAAGAGGGAGGTCCACTCCTATCTGACAGACACCCTCAGCTCTTTGATGTCTGAGCTCAGCCCCGCAGAGAAGGACGACTGCGTCATCGTTGTCCTCATCGCAGAGGTCAGTGTGTGTGAACCTACTACGGCCATGTTGTAGAGAACTCTCTGATCATGGTAAAATACTCCAGAAATCATGCTTTCTGTCCCACCGACTCGTAAAGGAAAGCCAGCATAAGGCCATCTTTGAATCTGCATTTATCTCCGCTCCTGAAGGCCTCTTCCTTGTCCAATCTTAGTCTTCTGGCAAGCTCAGAAGACTAAGATTGGACAAGGAAGAGGCCTTCAGGAGCGGAGATAAATGCAGATTCAAAGATGCAAAATACAAGTTTAGCAAGGCGGTGAAAGAGG